TACTAACAGAAAGTGGATACATAAAATATTTTTTTTTAACTTTTGAATTTGAAATTGTAAGAAAAATAATAGATTTAATTAAAATAATATAATATAATTAATATATATATATATATTAATACTAGTATTTTTAACTCATATATTATATGAAAGCATTTTATTAAAAATAGAAATTTTTGAAAAATTATTTTAATGAATTAAATATTTATAATGTATATAAATTTTAAAAGAAAGAATTGGAATAAAAGATAAATAGTTACAATAAAATTTTATAATAAAGAAATATACGTGTATATTAAAAAAATTATACTTTTTTATCTGAAAAATTAACAAATAAAATTTAACAATAATTTTTTATATTTATATTTTTTTAAAAACTTCTTTGAACGTGAATAAATAGTAAGAATAATATTATTTAGATTTAATAGATTATAGTTGTGCTTGTAATACATATGTTGCATAGAAAATATTATTTTAAATTAAAATATAAAAAATAAAATTTAAATATTATTAATAAATAATAAGTTTACGGTAATAGTAAGTGATTAAAAATTTATAAAATATTTATAATATATTTATTATTTATCATTCATTTTATGATTTAAACATCAATATGATTTTATTAACAAAAATATTGTGTAAAAAATATATTATGTGTGTCATATATAAATAATATTTTAAAAAAAATCAATCTCATATTAACTATGTAATAATTAAATTATATTAGTCTAATTAAATGATATAAAATAATAAATAAATTTTTCTATTAAAAATATAAACTAAAATAAATTTTTTAGTTTACTTTATTATTAAATATATTTTTATACTAATCTTATATAACTTCACATAAGTAATATAATAATACAAAAATGTAATGCATAATTGTAAAATAAAGTTTAAACATATATATATGGGTATGGGGTGGGGTGAGTACTTAGATACCCATACTCGTACCCATTTCCATTAAAATTTGTGAGTTTTTACCCACACCCGTACCCGTATAGCGGTAAATACATTACCCATTGTGAGTAAATTTTGCGGGTGCCCATCGGGTATTTTACCCATTGCCATCCCTACGCGCTGCACTATGAGAATGAAAATAATAAAAGTAAATTATTACAATTTATTTAAATGGTTAAAATTTAAAAATACACACTTTTTAAATGATATATATATACAATTTAATTAACATAATTAATTTATTACAGTTAAATTATAAAATGTTATTTTTAATTTGAACAAAATAATATTTAACACTATCTTACTTTTATATATACGGATACTTATAAAATCGAAAAAATAGTAACATTTAGACTAAAATATTAGTAAATTAATTTAGAAAAATAAAAAGTCATTAAAAAAACTAGTAAATATACTAGAAGAAACTGTTATGACGTAAATAACCTTTACTGTTTCTTCCCTTTTCTTCTCTCCTTTTTTCAGTCATTTTTTATTTTTTAATCTATTTTTTTTCCTTTTGTTCTTAGTCTTTTTTTTTCTTTTTTTTATAAAAAGAAACTAAAATAAATAAATAGACACGGACGAAAAATAATTTTTTTTATCAAGATTCCTATTAATGAAAAAAATTAGAAATTGAAAATTTATATCGACGTACGTTAAAATTAATTTATTTTAATAAATTATAAAAGATAATATATATTTTTATATATTTTTTATTAAATTATTTTAAATATATATACTCTTCAACCCCACGTAGCCTTGAGAATTATTGCAATTCGAGTTTATCATCACCTCCCTGTTTTATTTGGTTAAAATATATTTTTATTTCTGCATGTCATGCTGATTCCTAATTTGATACGTACACGAAAAAAAAAATTAGTTTATGTATATTATATATTTTTTCATTAAGTTCTGATTTCCTATTGTTTTTGTAATGTCGTCTATTGTAATTAACATAATGAAAATTATACCAAACTATAAAACTTATAAATATAACAAGTTTTCTTGCATTCGTTGATTACTTTTAATCTGAACCTTATGCCTCACGTGATTTTATGCCAATTTTGTTGGTTTTTAATATAAATTAAAAAAAATCTTATATTTTCTTTATGTATTTTAAATTAAGCTAAATTTTTAAATATAAATAAAATATATACGAAGCAACAGCAAATTCATGTATTTGAAGGGAAATAAAGTATAAAAATAAAATTCTTCATTATTAATAATAAGGATTCAATTTTATTATGGAAGGATAAATTACAGTAATTTTTTTTACAATAAATAAATAAATTTTGTAAATTAACTTTTTAAGAAGAAAACTTATATGTTATCACATATTATTAATATAAAATTCTAGTTTTAAATATTGAACAACACCAACAATATGTATAGAACTGTACTTAAATTTTCTAGTTTCTATACAGTGTTTTAAATTTAAAAATTTATACTTAAATTAAGGATGATTAAATTTAAATGATAATATTTGAGAAAAGTATATATGAAATAGATATACTTGTAATGAAAGAAGGCACCAAGATCACTGAGAAAGACAATAGATTAATTAGGATAATAGGACTCAAATAATAAGCACAGATGAATCGATTTGAAGGAATATATTAATTTAAAACTGATTGTACATATAAGGACGAACTGAGTTTTTTTTAATATATTGCTCAAATTGAAAATAAATGTTATATAGAAAGAATAAAAGTATTTTCTTATTATACAATCACGACTTTCAAATATATTTTTCAATGAAAAAGACGTGTTACTGTAGAAAGGGCTCATAAATCGTTTATAAAGTTGTACGGATTATCGAAAACATTAGGTATTTAATTAGCAAACAAATTTAGAAAAATCAAATCCCACATTATGAAGAATCACAGTGATTTTCTTAGATTATGAAACAAAAATGCTGTGTCATAAAACATGCACAATTGTAATTGAGATGTGACACATTTCTAAATTCATGCACTACTTTAAAAATCGGTTGGGTAAATATTTGAAAGGCTAAAGTTAATTTTATTTTAACAAAGATCAATTTTCTGAACATAGTAAAATCAAACATGGTCGGTCAACATACTTTTAGGACACCTAAACTATGCTTGAACAGTCTTTAAGCTATTCATCTTTGGTGAATGTTATGTCTTTTAAAGTAATGCATAAAAAATTATTAGTTGTACTAAATTCAATGATAAAATAACATTCATTAACTAAAGTATTTTTTTTTATTAAAGAGGCAAAATATAATTTTGAATTAATTTAGGTATATATATATATTTATCATTTTTAAAAATTAATTTAAAATATAAGATTTACAAGTATTATACACAAAAATATGAAATTTTAGAAAAACTAAAAATCTTAAAGTGACCAATAATAGGAGTCATTGGGAGTAACTAATCAAATATCCAAAGTCCACTGAATTGTTCATTATTTACTGCATTATTAATCCAATCATAAAAAATGTTTCTTTTAACAAGCAATGATGGAGTGACTCTGGTAGGGTCAATGTTGCCCCTATAGCAAGGTTTCTTACATGTCAGCTGATTGATTGGAGCTGGAATTTATATCATCAGCCGCATACATCAGCCAATGATATATGAGAAACACTGGTTTTCTTATCTGCATTAGCTTTGTAATAATATTTTGATTTTGATATCTGTAAAAAGAATAAGGGAATTTGATGACTTCTATGCACCGAATATTTTTGTCCTTTCTTTGTGCTATCTTCTTCTATAATATGTAGTCCTTTTGTTAATCATATTCCATCCAATACATGAACCTAATTTGGTCTTTCTTTTCATTTGTCATGTCTTGCCAATACTGAATCTAACTATCAAAAATCTTATCCAATTCTACCGGTGGACTAGAGTAAAAAGTGGTTGCTGTTAGCATACATGCAAGGGGAATGCATCCATGAACAAAAACAACATTCCCTGTCATTTATTGAATGACATGAATCTTGAATCATGCAATTCAAGCACTTAAAAGGCATTACAATTCCCATTACCCAATATATGACTAAAATAAAAATCAAAAGCCTAGCCTAGAATGGAAGTTTACAAATAAAAATGTTATAATTTTAATAAAAATGTATTATTTATTAATTTTCTAGCATGTGCCAGAAAAATGGATTAACTATTTATAAGATGCAACTAGTTAGGCATGAAACAAATTTGAGGTGATCATTGATCAATTTCTGTAATATACAAAACTTTGTTGATTGCTATTGGAGATTTAGAATGTGTCGGCAAATGCTGACTTAAGCCTCGAAATTCCTCAGCCTCAGGGAAAAAGTCTCCTCTCCATGGCTAGAAGAGACAAATATTTCAATTAGTTACATGAATTTAAGTTGTTGGTGAAGTCTGAAGATTCTTCTAATATTATCTTTAATAAAGGCTTTTGCATAAAATATGATTTTGAAATTAGGTAAGAATAAATAAATAAATATTAAAATACAAGGTGAAGGCTTAAATTTATTTATATGAACACTTTCAATATTAAAGTGTGGTCTTTATTAATTAGCCACGACAATGATTTTTTAAAAGTACTTGAATATTAAAATGTTTAAAATGGGCCATTTTGTGTACAAAATATCAAGTCATTTATAACATACCAAAAAATAATCACATTGCATTTGAGGTTTTTGGGCTGGGGTATACTTATTCTGATGAATGATTGATGCAGAGAAAATAGACAAACATAATATCTGTGGTACAAGGCAATTTCCGTTGGTACCCCTGTAGAAAAGTAGAGCAAAATCTCAACCAATAATATGTATATATATATATAAATTATCATTTAGGAAAGGTTTTTCATGCTTGGTTTATATGTTTATTTATTTATTTATTCTCATTTCAACTCTTTTCTGTAATAAATTATGAACACACCCTGCACAATCACAGCTATCTTGCCTTATATATCACTCTGCTTCTGCACTCTTTCAATGCCAAATATTCTCTCCCTTCCCTTTGTCTGTTTGTGCTATCCAAGCTTACCATTAAACTGAAATTCTGACAGAGAAAAGAAAACGCAAAATGGGGTGTCACCAATTAGAAAAATCAAAACCAAAATACAGAAAGGGTTTATGGTCACCTGAAGAAGATAATAAGCTCAGAAACCATATTCTTAAGCATGGTCATGGCTGTTGGAGCTCTGTTCCAATTAAAGCAGGTAAGTTTGTTTTTTATATTTTCTATATCCTTTGTTACTCATCATGTATGTATCATACTCCAAATGTACCTGCTATCTAGCAAAGTAGCATTTTTCTTGGTTCTGATGCTATCATTCAGTAGAGTTTTCCATGTTTTCATGAAGAGAAGTTTATCTTCTCTTATTTGATAAAATGTGCCTTGAATTTATTTGACTTAAGATTAAGTAATCAAATAGAAATGTGGGCATGCTTCACTGACTTTGGCAACAATAAGACATTATTTAGCTGCATCAATTCTAAGAATTTTTTCCAATCAATTCAAAATTAGAGAAGGAGAAATGTGATTAGAAGTTCAGAATCTTTATTGTGGAAATAACCTAAGCATTTTTCATGCCCCTCATTACCAGACTTTGTTTACTTTATGGTTGACTAAATAGACATTTTGTGTCAACATTACATTTTGCTGGTGTAAACCAGAATGATAAAATAAAAAAGATTTGATTGTGAATAACTTTTGATCATTCCTGACATACGTAGTAGTCATACAAGGTAAATTTTTATTAAATTTATTTGTTGCTGATTTGCTAAGTACAATTAAATGTTTAGGCTTGCAGAGGAATGGAAAGAGCTGCAGACTAAGGTGGATCAATTATCTGAGGCCAGGATTGAAGAGAGGGGTGTTCAGCAAACAGGAGGAAGACACAATCATGACCCTTCACCACATGTTAGGAAACAAGTAAGCAAAATGAACTTTTTTTTTAATTTGTTAAATTTTAATGATTTCAGTTTTACTTGCAAGTTTGAAGTAAAAGAAGTAAATTTGTAAATTTAAGTCAAAATAACGATACAGACTTCTAAGTCTAGTAGTTGTTAGTTAGCTAACAATTAGAGCAATTGGGCAAGAAAAGGACATTATTTTTTTATTAAATTTTTTAAAGGTGTTAAGTTAAAGAATGTAATTGGATAGGCCAGCTATGTCCTATTTAATTTATTTTGAAGAAGCAATTGGATCTTATTTAAGTAATATTAAAAGGAAAAACATATAGGATGGTCAAAGCATGAACTGGCATGGATAGGAGATGCTTCTTTTTTAAAGAAGAGAGAGAAGTGAATGTATATAGAAAATATATCTGGTCTAATATTCCCTTTTTATAATTTAAATTAAATGTTGCCCAATATTAATTACTTTAGACTTCTCTTCATCACATATAATTAATAATCAGTTTATTAAATATTTACACTTAAATATACTTCTCTATTCTTTTTTCGTATCTGTTTTGATATGAAATGTGTATTATCTTTTATAAGGTTACTAGCAGTGTATAAAGATGGGTCTATCTACCCTTGATTTACTTTAAAATACATCATCATCTTAACATATTAATTCAAAGGTAGATATTTCTTATTTGTGAACTTACAAATAAGCTCATTTTTAAAGAAAAATTATTTTTTTAGTATAAACTTGATAACATTAATAAAAGGGCTTTACGTGGTTATTGTCTTGTTAGGAGTTGATTTTTGCTAATGATTAATGGGTCATTGGTGAGTTGGATGAGGTTATGTTAAATATTTTTACTTATGTTGTTTGACTTGAGTGCACCTTGTACTTATGAATAAAATTACTTTGTTTATAAAAAAAATAAATTGATAAAATTAATTCATGTCGCATAGCTTCGTTCCCCCTAATTTATAAAACAAAGTCAACACTACTTTTTTTCCCAATTAATATGGTGAGAGGAGGAATAAAATAGTACTGTTTTGAGGAGACATTTCATCATGATACATGTTTCACATCTTTGTTTCATTCAACTCTTCAAAACAAAGCCTGATACATTTAATAATCACAAGGAAGGTAGCATTTACTTGCTACTCATTTGCAGTGCACATTCTTTGCTTTTTCTCGATTTCTTTCTTATGATATTCCTTTTGTTAATGGAAAATGCTGAAATCAAAGTAAATCAATCATGTTGGTCAGGTGGTCTCAAATAGCACAGCATTTGCCCGGAAGGACTGACAATGAGATAAAAAATTATTGGCATTCATATTTGAAAAAGAAAGTGGTCAAAGCTAAAGAAATTGAATCTGATAAACAAGTTCACTATGCTAGCTCAAGTTCAGATACAATGGATAATTCGTTCTCTCCACAGAAATTTGCAACTCAAGATCCTAATTATGGATTGTTTGAAAACATGGACAAATCAACACCACCCTTTGATCATTCTTTTTCACAGAACTACAACTTTTCCATGGAGACTAGTCAAAGCTCTTTACCAAAACTTTTATTTGCTGAGTGGCTTTCAGTGGATCATGTAAATGGTGGAAGCTCAGTAAATTCTGATGATTCTTTGGTTTTGGGAAATGAATTCGATCAGAATTCAACTTTCCAAGATGCTATAATGCATATGTCAGAAGGACACTTTGGTGAAGGGTATCATCATAATAGTCTAATTCAAAGTTCAGCCACTGAGGTGTACAATTCACAGCTTAAGTTATCAAATCAAGTGGATGGAAATGATTTCGACCATTGTGTAGCTGGGGTTGATTTCTGTAGCAATTTCAGCCTCACCAATGATACAATGTATGTATGAAGAAGGAGTTCACAAGGTTGCTCAAAAAGGAAGAATAATTTGTAATTAACATACAGAAAACAAAACAAAGTTTAGCAATGTAAAGTTATATAAACTTCAAATTGTTTGAATTATAGTCCTACTCAACACAAATAAATTCAGTAAGATAGCAGAGAAGTGTATTATATTGTTATTCCTCCAGAGTTGTTTTAGCATACTCGTGTAAATTTTCTTCAAATTAAGGAGTGAACATCTTGTGGTTTTCAATATTTTATTCTTGTAAATGTTACACATTTGTAGAACTGATTTATATGCTATCTGAGATAAATTGTTCTTTTCTTAATTGTTAATATGAGAAAACAATTTCTCACAGATGTTTTGAGAGCTGGTGTGAATTGACCTCCACCTTAGTATATACCTTGGATTACCATTTAAGGGAAATTTTGTTAGCTTGCCAACTGTCAATTCTGCTTCTCAATCTCAGTAAATTAATATGGGCACATATACTCTACTATAGTACCCATCCCTACACCACGTTTTAAAAAATACTCGTACTCAGTCCCATACCGGTATGGGTATGAACATTAATTACTGTATCTGTATCTTCTGAGTACTCCTATACCCATCTTATACCTATTACCTATGCTTATTTAAGAGAAGAAATATTTATAAGGAAAAATATATTTATATAACTTAACATAAGTAGCATAATAATACAAAAATTCAATAAGTAGTTGTACAAATATAAATAAAAAAAATATTCAAAGATCACAGGTACTAAATGTATCTTAATACAATAATTTTCTAAATTAAAATTCTTAGAAACAATAAGCGAAACTAAACACACAAGTTATTTGTTGGTGATAACCTTACCTTGTGAGATTCAATCGATCAGCAACATTAGAGCTGAGTGGCTTTTCATGTGTGATCACTTGGTGATCCTTTGTGACAGTATTGACAACTAACTCTAATGAATAACGTTTTATAGTTGTTAGGTTTTAATGAGACAAACATTAAAAATGAGAGTAGAGTTAGGGCATAGAAGTTTAAGTACTAAACAACAACAAAAAGTGGATATATAAAATAATTTTTTTAATTTTTGAATTTGAAATTATAAGAAAAATAACTGATTTAATTAAAATAATATATATATATATATATATATATATATATTAATACTAGTACTTTTAACTCATGTACTATATGAAAGTATTTTGTCAAAAATATAAATTTTTAAAAATTTATTTTAATGAATTAAATATTTATAATGTATATAAATTTTAAAAGAAAAAATTTGAATAATGATAAATGGTCATAATAAAATTTTATAATAAAGAAATATATATGTATATTAAAAAAATTATACTTTTTTATCTGAAGAAAAATTAACAATATTTTTTTTTATATTTTATATCTTTTCAAAAACTTCTTTGAACATAAATAAATAGTAAAAATAATATTATTTAGATTCAATAGATTATAGTTGTACTTATAATACATATTTTGTATAGAAAAATATTATTTTAAATTAAAATATAAAAAATAAAATTTAAATATTATCAATAAATAATAAGCTTACAGTAATAGTAGGTGATTATAAAATTTATAAAATATTTATAATATGTTTATTATTTATTATTCACTTTATAATTTAAATATCAATATGATTTTATTAATAAAAATATTTGTGTGAAAAATATTTTATATATGTGTTATATATAAATAATATTTTTAAAGAAAGTCAATCTTATATCAACTATGATATAATTAAATTATATTAGTATAATTAAATGATATAAAATAATAAATAAAATTTTAATTTATTTTATTATTAAATATTTTTATATTAATTTTATATAACTTTACATAAGTAGTATAATAATATAAACATTTAATATATAATTGTAGAATAAAGTTTAGAAGTTACCATTCCTACGTGACACTGCAAATAAAGATATGCTACTATAGTTGATAATTGCAAAAGGAAAAAATGATTCAAGAGGAACTTCTATGAAGTGAACATGTGGCCAATCAGCAACAGTTAGTTTCTTATGGTATCTAAAAATCACTATCTTTAGGTTACTTTTGGTTTAAGTTTAAAAATACAGCTAGGATTATGTTGTTATTTCTGGTTTGAATTTAATTCAATCTTAGAAATCAAATTATTATAATTCTTAAGAATAAAAACATAATTGATAAAATAACAAAAAAAATATAAATTATACCAATTTTTCTTCTTCTTTTTATCTAAACCTACCATCTATTGTTATAACTGTTATTATATATTAATGAGTGATTCACCAACTTTTAATATTAAGTAGCTTAAATTCATTTGTTAGTAAAGCACAAAAATTCAGACATTATATTCAACGAATGAAGTTTAAATAATTTACAAGTAACTTAACTTAATACACTAATAAACCATAATGTCGTTTCTCAGCCAGGGTTATAGATCCCAAAAAGCAAGCACATAATCATATCCCAATAAAGACACATTCCTAAACCAGTAAACTAAACAACTAAACACAAATCATTCATCAATAATGCATTTAAAATAGAAGACATCCTTTTCAAAATATGGACCAGAAACTTGATCACAAATTGGAGTTTTTCTTCTTCTTTTTTTCTTCATAATTTGAGTTGATTCCCAAGGGAGCAGGTAGAGGGGGTCAGGGTCAAGTAGGGCATAACATATATTTATTTCTTTCCCATATCAAAGTTGTATCATGTATTAAAATTAAGTGGGACATGCCATATTTTCTAAATCCCTTCCCATACCAAAGTTTTATCATATATTATATAAATTAAACCCCAAATATACTCATGATTTAAGAAAGTGACAACTTCAATTTTCAACACAATCACCAGTGTGTGCTCAAGGGGAGACCTGTGCATTGGGATGGTAGTATTAGACGCATTCCTAATTAGATACATAAAGAGTAAATTTCTCATCTTCAGTGTGTAATATATATATATCCACATTTTCCATTTCGTCCCTACCTTTACTCTAAAGATAAATGTACAGTTAATATAGCTTAGCTTATACGTACCCTCTTTTTGGAAGAAAGAAGATAGAAGTTGTTAAAATTAACTAAAGAAAACTTAAAGATGTATTTTTTAAAATGTTTTTAATATTATTTTTAATTAAAATTTAAGTTTTTCTTGTCTAAAAATATTTTTATCCAAAAACAATCTTATTCAAGTCGAATATAATTATTATTAATAATAAAATTGTCCTTCAAAATATTTAAAACAAATGAATATATTAGGACTTAATAATTTTAGTAATATTATATAAATTTTTTAATATTATAAAACTTTTATTTTGATTATAATTAACACAAAAAAAATACTTATAAAATTAGAGTTTTGTTAATTTCAATTTTAAAAGCTGAAAATAAATAACTAATATAATAAAATTTTATTAAAAAATATATTTATTATATTTTTATAACTTTAATACAATAATTATATACTTTTTTTTATAAAAAATTTCTATTTATAAATACTTAAACTGATATAGTTGAGGTTAATAAAAATCCATAAAATTATATCTAAATTTTGTCTTATATTAATTAGCCAAACAGAGATAGCCTGCAACATTACTCATTACCAGCTTAACAAAAAATTTTACACGACGTGTCCTTCTATTTTTATTATGACTGTACGAGAAGAGAAAAGAAAATCCTCCTAATTTGTTAATTTGTTATTATTTTGGTTTTTAATTTTTAAAAATTATATTTTAAACAATTTTAAAAAATTAAAATTAAATTTGTATTAATAAAAAAATTATTTATTTATTTTGAAAACAGAAAAATATTTTAAAAATAGAAAACAAATAAAAGATATTTTATTTTTTAGTATTTTTAATGATTTTTAAAAAAATTAATTAGTACCTCAAAAAATCTGTTAATATTTGATAAAAACATAAACAAAAGATATTTTTCGTTTTAATCCTGCCTTTTATTGTTATGAAAATAGTGCTTCAAAATTTCGAGGCTTTGAATAAAATTAATCTTCGAAGCTTAGTCCTATATATAAATATATTTATCTATTTTACAAACATAATTGATATTAAATAGAATTTAAAAATATAATTATTAATATTTTTTTTATACTCTTAGAATTTGTGTTAATAAAATACTCACTCATTACCTATGTAAATGAATATAATTATTTATTTAATATGTAATTGAAACATATCATATAACAAAGTCCTTCCCCTTAATTCCTTTTTCCGACTAACACACGCCTTCCATATTCATATTTCGTCTCTTTGTCTCATCTCAACCTTTTTTCTCTCCTTCTTCCACTTGAGTTCATATTCCTTTGCTTTAAGCCACTTATTTGGAATTTTAGAAAAATCTTTGTACCTTTTTTGTTGTTCTCTTCCACGTGAAATTATGTATAGGCAAGGATTGAAGCATTAACTTTAAATGAAGAAAAACAAGATCAAGTCAAGCTTAAGAATCTTTAGTTGAAGAGTGAAAGTGAAAATTTTGAATAAGAGATTAGTCATGTTCCTACTTCTAGAATTCAAGAAGAAAACAAGCTTCTCCTCTCACTTCTTGATGTGATTCACAGCTTAAGCTTCTTTGTTTTTCCTAGTTTAATTACTCAAACTTGATTCTTGTTACTTGGAATCCAAAGCATCTCAAAGAAAAGGAAAAAAGGTCATAATTTAGAAAATAATCAAGGGTAAACCATATAAGAATGACATGGGAAACTTACCCCTTTTCTTAGAAATTTCACTTGAGTTACTATCCTGTTTATAGGTGAAGCTTGGTAATTAATTAACTAAGCATGAAAATTGGAAATGAATTTAGACAAGGCCATCATGAACTTTTGAGAATTTGAGTGCAACTTGTCCCTAGATTCACTAAAATTGGGCTTAGGGCTTGGCATCGATCCACTGGGTTTTCGGCTTTAGGGTACTTGTTCTTAGTAAAACTACAATTCCCTTGTAAATGTGACCTATTGAATCTCATTCTAGGTCCATTTTATTTGTTTAAGTTTATCAAAAGGACCATCCACTAATTTTGGGTTGGGTTTATGTCTTGGATTGGACTAATGACTATTCCATTTTTTGTTACTAATATAAAGTTTTAAGAATGCAGGATTTTGGATTGTGATTCTAAACTAGATCATCACTGGGTTAGCCCATTTATTTAGTCTTTGTAACTTGTAAGCTTTTAATTGATTTTTCAGTTCCAATTCTCAAAAGAAAATTTTGATTTTCAGACCCTAAAGGAAGTACTTTGAGGGTTTTCTAATTGATGCTAAAAGATTTCACTTACATTACATTGTTTTCAGCTTAGCTAAAAATTAGAACAAGTTTAATGCTATTATCTATTTATTACAATTTCTTATAATTGCCTAATTCAAAGTGTTATTCTCAAGGAAGTGGAAATGGGATGTTATGTTAAATAATCTAGTTAATGCTACCAATGTTTCACTGTTTTGCTTATGATCTCTGGATTATTTTGTAAACTATAATCTTTTACAAAACTTGTGATCCTATATGTATAGTTTCTATGGATAATCAGCTTCAGATTTCTATTTTATTTTATTTTATTTTATTTTTTGTTTCCTTTCGTTTTAAATTTTTAATGTTTTAAACTGAGTGCCTCTGGCCCCTGTCATTCACCTCATTAATGGCAATGTTTGACGTTCCTCTGCAGAAATCGACACGTGGATTATTGCCCAATAGCATTAAATTTACGTTGTTCAATTCAAGTAATCTTTTCAATCTATTTTCGTATGTTAAATAATATTATCTGTTATTTTAAAGGTTTAATTATATTTTTTTATTGAGAGATGTACAATTTTAGTTATTTCGGTTTTTGAAAATTATTTTTTTATTTTTATTTTAAATTATATAAATTTTATTTAAAACTTTTAAATTTTCCTTAATTTTTTAGAGAATTTGTAATAAAACTAGAACATAAAATGCTTTTAAAATAAAAAAAGAACAGTAAAGGTAATAGAATTTTAAAAATTTTACGAGATGATATTAAGGTTTGAAGAAGAAAAATATTTTTTATTTAAGATAAATTTAGTATTTTGATTGGTTAATTTTAAATAAAATATAATTTAATTGATTAGACTCTATTTTTTTATCATTATTCTAAAAGTAAAGAGACTTAATTAGGTCAAAAATAAATTTGAGAGACTAAAATTATATATAATCTAGATTAAAAAGACAAAAAGATGCAATCATGTTTATTTCAAATTACCATAAAAGTACGCATTTAATATTTTTTATAATTTTAAGATAATATATACTTATATTTTTAATAAAATAATTCTATTTTTAACTTCGTAACATGTATATTTAGCTACATGTTAAAAAAATATTTCTCAATTTAAATTAATGTTAATAAAAAATATTTGTAATTTAAATATTCTTATAAAATAAATATTCATACTACTTCAAATAATAAAATACGAGCCTAACATATATTAAATTTGTTTGATAGTAAGTAAATATTGTGTATGTTATATTAATTTTTGAAATATAATTTAAATTTCTTTATACAATTGTTTTATATGAATTGTAATATCAGTAAGAATTATTAATTATTATAATAATTAATTAAAAAAATAAATTTATGATATATTCTAATTAGTTGATAGTATAAAAAATTTTAACCTAATAATATACAAAAAATTCATTCTAATATTTATAAGAGCATATAATATACAAAATGATAAGTTAACAAGGTAAAACTAAAACTAATAATTCAGTTAATAAAAAAAACGTATTAAGGACAATTTATAAATAAATAATTATATAATACTTATAAAAAAAATTACATATCAATTTAATGTGATAATTATTAATAACAACAAAAGTCGAATCTAGACCATATACTGCTTTTCATTATTTTTTATATTTTTTTTATTGAGTAGCATAGTGTAGTTATATTAAAAATTTGAACAAGATATATTTTTATAAAATTTAATTAGTAGGTCAGAAATTGATAATCTAGCCAATGAGTGTTCTTAAGATACTCAGGTCCTTGGTTAAAAAAAAGAAAGAAAGAAAGAAAGTTTTTAATAGAGATCACATTGAGAATGTGTTAAAAACTTCAATGGAAAAGCATTTATAAATTTTAGAAGATATTTGAAAAATTTTATGAAAATAGTTTATAACTTATAATTTTTTATTTATTTTAATAAAATTTTCATTATAATTTATAAAATGATTTCTCTCTAACTTATTTTAAAAACTTTTATAATTAAATTTATGATATAGTTTTTAATGAAAAAATTATTAAATAAATACTAAATTATGCTATATTTCTAAATTTATTCTTAACCGATTTCCTCAAAATACTAATTAAGATTTGACTGTAGTCAATCACACTGAATCTATATAAAAGTTGTGCCTTTTAAATTTTTCTAACATGAACACCTCGTATAGGATCCAAACTGTTTGGTCATGATTCCACTTTTCATTTATGATCCATCCATCATGTGTCTTGTCTGGTTTGGGTTTTATCCACCGGTTCATGGTTTTCACATAAAAAGCAGCAATTCAGCTGCCGCTGAACCATAGAGAAAATGCCTCTTCAGATTGTGTACAACAGTGCATGAGATGCACATTTCATGCATCATGTTGGATTCAAGGACTTCGTTTCACTTAAAATTAAATGACTTTTTACTTCAATGCAATGCATCAAAATTCAAAGCCAAACAACCCCTTCTTTTTTCATCTCAAAAAATGTCTTCATTTTAAGAGGGTTGTGCTGTGTTGTGGGGTTCTCTTCTGTGCCACTCTCTCGTCCAACATTTGCTTCTCTGAATATTATGTCATTTTCTCCATTAAAAATTTCTGCTTATTTACTACATGATCTATTATTAGAATAAAAAACATTTTTTTGTGAGTTTCACAATATTTGTAATACACGAAATATATGTATGTTTCTCTCTCTTAAAGTACTAAGTAAATGGAGAGTATCCTTACCCTTTTCTCTCTACTTCCCTGTATTTTTGCTTCCTTCATCTCTATTTTATTTTCCACATTCAGCCACATTTTTGCATTTTATGTTGTCATTGAGAACCCTGTGGCATTGCCTTAGAGGGCATGTAGTAATGTAATATATTAAATGCAAGCCTGAACCTCTAAGCCACACAATTGTCCTACACACATGCATTTATTGTTGGCGTCAGTTTCGAGTTGATTTATCCCATCACTTGGTTTTCTTCTGCAACACTCTTCTTACATGTGAGGTGATGATGATGATGATGGGGTGGTGTGTATTGTGAATGTGAGCGAAGGTTATTGTTATTATTGTTGTTTTTTTATTAGCATTATTATAATGGTGAGATTATTGTTATTATTATTGTGGTAATGAGGTGGTGAAGATGGGAAAAGCACCATGTTGTGATAAACATGGAGTGAGGAGGGGAGCTTGGACTCCTGAAGAAGATGAAGCATTGGTTCAGTATATTAATAAGCATGGACATGGAAGTTGGCGTACACTTCCCAAGCAAGCAGGTGCAAGTTTTTTGTTATTGAACTGCTGTTCCTTTTTTCTTCATTGCTTCTGCATTGTGCTTGTTTATTTCTTTCTTAAGGAGGGGCTCTTTTGGAAATTTTTCGTCTTGAAGAATAAGTCTTGTGGCAAAAAGGCTTGTTTGGTGATGTCTATTGCATTCCTTGAATTAATTGGTTGAATCTTTAGAGAATATGGAATTGACACCAATGTTCTAAGGGGATGTATGTAATTTTAAACTTTTACAGTTGTATTAATGATCCCATAACTTAAAAGGCAACCCTTTGTGTAGCCTTTTTCTAGGTCAAGATTTTAGATAGTAATTGAAGACTCTCCTTCCTGAAGAAACTTCAATCACAATGTGATTTTGTTCTCTTAATAAGAAAACTTGATTGTGTTCTGTTTTATATTTCTCCTTTTCTTTTTGGCTCAATACAGTTCTTTCTGACTTCTTGCCTTCCCTAAAAGTGAGGTTGAAGTGTGTGTCTATTGACTCTATTCAATAGTCATTATGCAATGAACCGTGGTTTGTTGCCATTATGCCATCTGCTCATAACAGACTTTATTTCCCTTGACAAATGGTTTACAAAATTGTGTTTGAGGTGAGTTTGATGTGCTAACTTGAAAATTTCTCACAACGTAAAGAAGGAAGTTGAAGACATTTATTGTATGAACAAAACTTATAGATACCGTATCATGTGTGTTTTTATGTTCTTAATGAAAAATAAACTTTGGTTGACACACATTATTAAGGTGAAATTTCAATCTTGATTAAAAAACAGCATAAAAAAACATTTATTAGTACTGTACCTAAGTTTTGTCCCTAAAGTACACTTAAAAATTAGTTCAATGTATATTTTACCATAGGTCTTAGATGTTGATATTATGGGAAAGAATAAACAAAAGCCCACATTATGCTGCATTTACCTCTAGTATCTATCTGAATAATTTAAGAATATGTATGTCAAAAAGACTCAAAACTATTTTCTATAGTAGTCTCGAATCATACTAGAAATTTATGTTAAGTTATAAAAAATAACTCTAATGTTCAAAGCTTGGCTCTTACTAGGTCTCCTTCGATGTGGAAAAAGTTGCCGGCTTAGATGGATAAATTATCTTCGCCCTGACATAAAACGGGGCCCATTTACTACTGAGGAAGAAAATAAAATTATTCAGCTTCATGGCATGCTTGGCAACAGGTTGCAAATTTTTCTTATGCTAATTTTCTTGTACATGAACACACCACTATTATACTCGTGCTGTTACATCCTGAGTTAACATGTTGCATTCTCTGAAGCCCACCACACTGATAATGCTTGAATCCATGGATTCTTTTTATGTTCCTTCTCCAAACAAACAAAACAATCCTGTTTAGACTCATACGCTGGACCAATTTATCGCAGGGAGTGAGTTAATCTCTATTCATATGTGCATGTGATGTGAAATATTACCTTTTAAATGGATAATTAAGGGAAATGGAGAATCTTATCTCATCTCAGATTCAGTATCTGTGAATTGTTTATTCATTTAATTATTTTTGTCATGAAAATTCCTTGTGTACCTAAGATATAAGAAAAAGGAAGGACTTCAACTTTCAATTTTCATCATTTGGCCAGAGACCCAATTGTATTTTGTTATGTTTCCCACCACTCTCAACGGACATCTAGAAGCTTAGCTACCTTTTCTTCATCCTTCATGGTAATATGTTTATAGATTTGAAACAGAGAAATGCTAGCTAGCATCACACTCTCTTCAATACACTCCATGTGATTGATTTATTTTTAAAAAAATAAAAGCACTTTCATTGAGAATTGGTCTTTTCTTTTTAAAATTGTTGAGTTTTGTGAAAAATGAATCAATTATAAAGGGTGTGTAACTAGTATGCCTGTTTGAAACATCACAGTTTGACAGTTTAGCAATGCCCTCATGCAATTAACAATGCTTTCAGAAGATGTTAATCTATTGCTTTTTCTCTAAAACTTGGTTGCATTGATCCACAACATTCATATTTTTGCATGTAACCACCCATGAGTTTAGGTGGGCTGCTATAGCATCCCAAATTCCAGGAAGAACAGACAATGAGATTAAGAACTATTGGAACACACAACTGAAGAAGCGCCTTCCTAACAAGTTGGGACATTCCAAAGGGCCACAACAATACCCTTTCAGTCCTGATCACAGCATTGCCAAATCTGAATCCCCTTCAACACGCCACATGGTACAATGGGAAAGTGCTAGAGTTGAGGCAGAGGCAAGGTTGTCTATGGAATCAGCATTGATCAATTCATGGTCAACAACTGAAACATACCCTGATCATTTTCTTCAACTTTGGCATTCTGATGTTGGAAAATCATTCCGCATGATCAAAGGAAAAGGGGTAGTGTGTCAAAGCCCTTTGTCACAAGCATCATCATCATCAAAATTGGAGTCATGTTCAGATGTCTCATTGCAAGCTAAGAACACTGCAAATAGTGCTATTGCAAACAAGTCACATGAACAAGGTAGTGGCTATAAAGCAAAGCTAGAAGATGGCACAGCTGGATCAGAATCTGGCTATTATGAATTTCTTGATACTTCTGACTCTGCATTGAATCAACTGCTTGATGTGCCTGACAGTGGAATAGGATTCCTAGGACAGAATGAGAGTTTCCTGAATACCCTTTATGGTAGATGTGACTAAGATAAGTAACATAATATTCATATTTTCTCATGAAAAGGCAATATTTTGATCTTAGAAAAAAAAAACACATTTTGCCTTTTTCTATTTCTTCAATTGTGTAAATGTAGTTAATGTAGCTGGTTTTCCACATTCCACGTGTCCTACAACACTTGCAGCTTATATGCATACTGGCCTCAAGTTCTTTATATTTTTCTAGTTAAAACATGGTCCTCTCTCTATATGATTAATTTGATTATATATATTATTCTTGAGATTGAATAAAAAATTATGTGCTCAAGGGATAGTCGCTTCGGATTAGAACCATGCTGGTAGTTCAATGGTGTTTTAATACAATGAAGTATAAAATATTACATGCTAGGCCCAAAAACATTATATTATATTGTCTTATGCGTTGCAATTATTTTTAATTGTCTCTATCTCTTACAGTAACTTTATTCTATTTTTATTGGACTAAAATAATAAAAATAATATGAATAAATTTGAAAATAATTACGTCTATTAGAATTAAATTGAAAACATTTTAAATATAGACTAAATTAAAAGTACAGCAGATATTTAGTCGTATTATTTTCTTTAAAAAATATCTATTACCCACTGATATATCTAGTATTATTCCTATTTAAGTAATTTTTTAAAAATATTTTATCACTACTATAGTTATAAAAAAATGAAATATTTAAATAAAATAATGATAAACCCATTAAAGTAGCTTTTCTTCGACGCACTTAAGTAGATGACTTGTACAACATGTCAAATGGATTGAGTTCGACATGCTTGAAATGATCACGGCGTGAACAGGGAACACCAAATCAACGAAAAAAGGGAAGAGGGGGGGGGGGGGGTGGTGGGAATCTGCTATGTTGATACATAATTAAGAGAAAACAGCCAAAGAATATTAGTTTTTAGATCTTATCCTAAAACACGATAACTTTCTGGCCTACAGTAAATATGTCAACAGTACCCAAGATGCTGAAATTAGTCTATTCTTTACACAATGGAAGTAATAGCTTTTTACCCTTATGATTGTTTTCCAAATTTCCTTTTATTATGTTTTTAATTTATATAAATATTACTCAATATGTAATTTGCTTTTAAAAGAAAAACAGGTAATGTGATTCTGTTATATCAAGTCAAATTTTCATTAATAGGTAATGAATGAGTGAAATTGGTGAGGAACAAGTAACTCATGCACAGATTGAATAATTTAATTTCTTTATCCACAAAGGTGGGTGGTATATACACGCCAACACATCACTATGCACACATAATAAAAGAACATGGGCTAAATCGCCAACATAAAAACTAAATCACACATGTATTGATGATACTTTAAAGCCAAATAAAAAAATACATAATAATAATTTAACACTTCTGTTTCCAACCAAGCTTGAGGTTTGAAGCATATTAGAAACAGCCAAGGAGTTTCTTTGGAGCAGTTCCTGTTGCTCTATACTTTGCAGCTGTTTCCTCAGCCTTGAGAAGATCTTCTCCTTTTTTTGCGTCAATAATTGCTCTCTTTTCTTCAGCTTCCCTGTGGATTGTTGCTATTTTGTTTTTTATTTTCTCTGCATATTCTGCCTTTTTCTTCTCCAGTTGTTCCTACTCACATGCAAAAATTAAGAGTTGACTTTTCTTCCCCTCTACTAATTTTTTAAAATAATTGCTCATTTCTTTTAGCTTCTTGAAAGAGCTTTTATAAAAAATTGATTATTTCTCTAAATTTAAGTTGAACAAAACATGGTAGAAGTTGAATAAAAGAATAAGCTTCTATATAGAAGGAAGTTATTGGTTCAATTATAAAACAGAAAGAACAATTACAAAAATGAAAAGAACACTGACAACATGTTAGAATATTTACTAATGAAATAAATTCTTACTTCAATCTTTTTCAATTCAGCCTCCACAGCAGCTTTCTTACTGTTCTCCCATGATGAAATGGCTGAAAGCTTTTTGTGAGCTCTGGCAACAAATTTTATTTAAATTAGTAATCCAAACATTGTTAACATGAAAGATCCACAGTATGTGATAAAATGTGAAGCTTGACGTTTTAGGTTCATGCTAAATTGTTAAAACAAGGAGCTGTCATTTGTTTTCTAAGAGTGTTCAATGCAAAAAAATAGTAAAGACCAACCCAAGATGAAAAAGAAAACAAACAAATAACTTTCCAGTTAAAAGATTAAAAACGTCATAAATTTGATGTTAGTTTGATTAATCACCAGTGTTAAGGTGACTCAATTAAAGACTTTGGCACTACTAAAATCCACATAACATTTGAATCAAGTGTTGCAGGTTCTTACTTGTTTTCAGCTTTTGATTTTTCACTTTCTTCCCATGCTTTGATTAGGGACAACCTCTTCTCTGTTGCAACTCTTGCAAGCACAGCATCTGAAGACAAATGAGGCATTATAATCTTTAATGTCAAGCTACGCAAAGGTTGCAATAAGGAAAATTAAATGTGGTTAAGACAACTGACATACCTCGGTTGACAGAGCCCTCAGATGGTTTCACTTCAGCAACTTCTTCTGTCTCTGGCCATAACCAAATCAACAACAATAAACAAAACAAAAACAAATATATTGATCATTGTTATGATCATAACTATAATGATGGAACAAAAATTTGTCTCTGTAGTTGACCACTTTACTACATGTTATATACCTTAATTCCAAAATGGAGATTGAAAGAAAATTTAATCTTGACATGCAAATGAATACAGGTTTTTCTTTGATTTGAAAATGAGGTTAATTCAACTTGAGAACTTATGCAAGGAAATATAACTATTGTGCTCTCATTCTGCTCCAATGAATCAATCATTAAACTATAAAGCTCAAATCTGTAAATGGGTTTTAATGTTTTGCTCTCCACTGAACTGAAAGGGTGTGTTTTGATGAAGAATTTTAAGCAGGCCACGAATAAGTTGATTGGGATTAAAATGATTTAGTATGAAATGACATGTTTGGATGCTTAACAAAAGAATTTTGAAAATGATAGGTATTGCTAGCTACTAAAGCTCAAGTATTAATTGGTAACAGCAGATTCCACCAAAACGAAAATTCTAAGAATTGAACCGAAACACCAATACATAATTGTACACTGGCTCAAAAATACTCGAGCTAAGAGACATTTGAATCATAAGGCCCACAGAAGGTGACTTGTAATTGGATAGCAAAAAGGGTAGGTAAAAATATATGAAATATGGGTAATTTATAAACCATTTGTTATATAACACATGAATCACAAGGCCAAGTAGTGGATGTGCCTTTTCCTCTGAATTTGCAGGTATTTTTGCCTAAAACATGAAAATTTGGATCTTTGCATGAAGGCTTGATTCTTAACAAGGTTGCAATTGGGAAATAATATTTTAATACGTTTATGCCAGATTACACTGTACAAGGCTTGAATTTTACAGAAGGACCACCCTGTCAGCAAATAGAAGTGGAAAAGGTGCAGAGCAATTTGAATATACAGTTTTGAATAAAACTACAACAGGAAAGTTCCAGCAAAAGTTGAACAGAGAAAAATACAAGAAGAACAAACAATCAAGTACAAGAAACAACCAAATAATCAAAGTACAAGAGATTTTTTTTCCTCCAAAAGGGGAAAGGAAATAATAAAAAAACAATAACCTGTTCTCAGAAATTAAAAATAATTCTCAATGAATTTTGACAATAGTTTAAAAAAGAAAAACAACACAAAAATTTATGTTGCGGCCATAAGAACAAGAAAAACATCACGTTTAAATACTAAAATTAGGAACATAGCACGAAAAATTCAGAAAAATAAAATCAGAACAGTTTCACTTATAATAAAACCAGTAAACCACCATGTAATTCAAAAAGAAATTCAATAGAAGATGCAGAAGAAGGAATAGTCAACAAAAACCCTTTTCTTATCTCAAACAAAAACAACATAAAAAGAACCTTTTTTTTCTCTCAAACAAACCCGATATCGTAAAATAAAACACCCTTTAGAATAAAGAAATCACATAGTTGCTCAATAAGAAGAAGAATTGTTCACCCTAGTAGAATAAAAAACAAAGCAAATTCTTTTTTTGTTTTCATTTTATAATAATTTTTCTCACCAACCAAATTCCAATCACACATAACACCAAGCCTTGGAATCATAATTGATATCATATCATAACATCTTACTCTCAACCAACACAAGAGCCTTGGAATCATCAGGCTTATCATCCAAAGAAGGCACTGGAATCACTGATTTCTCCTCAGCCACATCCTTTGGAGGCTCAGGAACAGGTTCAGGTGCAGGTGGAGGAGGTTGAGTCTCAGCTGGAGCAGGTGGAGGAACTGAAGCAGTTTCTGACTCTGCAGTAGTTTTCTGTTGTTCTTCTGTCATTTTTCCTCTGAGAGAGAAACTTGGAACACTACACAAAAGTGGTAAACAAAAAAGTGTAACAACACTGTCACTTATTTAGAAAAGTTGAAAACTTGATTGGAGTGAAAGGGTATAGGGAGAGAAATGAGAAGAGGGGTTGTTTGGTTGAGATATTATAGTTGAAGGAAGGTAACTGTTTAACTCTAAGTTCCAAAAGCTTAGCTGTGTGTTAGGTACTTGTGGCCTCACAATGAGTTGGCACAGTAACAGATATTGAGACCATTGAGGACGATGAAAGCTACACATCCTTACTATTATATAACCAAAGTAATTGGATAAACCAAGCAAAATGTTCAATTAGAATTTTACACCTGTTTTGGTGGGCTCCATCATTTTCTTTTTTTTCTTTGTTCCATTAATGAAATGTTTTTTCCTATGAGATTTCATGGATTGGATTAAGGAATTGGAATTGGAATTTGAATAGTGTAACCAATGAACCAAAATGGGGTAAAGTAAAATTTTTTTATTTTTAGTTAATCAGTTAGGTGATGCTAAATTGGGCAGAGCTATATTGAACCGCATAGATAGTGAATTAGTTCCACCTTTTACTCTTGCATTGTTTGGTTTGATTCAAAATTTAACAGATTAAACTTGTTAGTCCAATAATTATTGATTGTTCTTTAAAACCGTTCTATAGCTCACAAATAATTAGTGATTTTACGTTTTTGCAATTCAATACAATTTATATAATTTCATTGAAATACATTTTTTATATTCATATTCACTCAAGAATTATTATTTATTGAAAATGATTGACTTTTATAATAATTAGTATTTTGTTTTCAGGTTTCGCACAACATCATTAAATTACATTATGTTTTAAATAAATAATTAAAATATTTTACATGATTATTTTAAATTTTTTTAAAAGTAACTATTATAATTATTAATAAAAATATTCTATTTTTTATATAAAATAAAAAATTAAATTAAAAATAATAAATAATAAATACATAAATTTGAGAAAATCACTTGGCTTGATAAAAATAAATAAATTCCTAAAAGTTCTATCATTTAAAAATAATCCTAAAAATAATTTTTTTCAAAAAATAGTGCCCATCACAATTTTTATATAGAAGTTGATTACTTTAAAAGTTGTATTTACAATTATTTTTAATTGATTAACAGTAACAACATATAAATTAAACTCTAACTGAAGAACTGTTTTTTTTATATATATGTGTTTGTAGACTGTAAAAATATATAAATTTTATGAAAATGTTTCGTTATCAAATTTTTATGAAAAATCCAACATATTATGAAAAAAATTTAAGATGGTGAGGAACTGACTCTGCTCCTAGTTCTATATTAATCCAAAGATCTTGAAATTCGATTTATACTGGTAATCTTTTATTCGTAGGTCATCTTTTCAAGTAACTCAATAAATCCTCACTGAAAATTATATGATATATCCTAATGTAATATTAACCTTTAAATAACTATTACATAAACTTTTCAAAAGAAAAATCAAGTATGCACTGCATTTATGACCCTAAGATTTTATTCAACATAAACAAATTAGGAAGTACACTTCTTCCATCCCTACACCAACTCCTGCGTTATAATTTTATCTTTCACGCTTAAGTTTTTTGGTTGAACTAAAGCATAAATATTTTTTAAATACACATCTACTTATTGATTAAAATTTATAAAAATATGAAAGAAAAATATTAAATTAAGAATAAAAAATGAGACCCACATAATTTTTATAATTCTTAAAAAGTTTTCCTATTAAAATAAATGTGTTAAATTTGTATTTTTGTTGATTTCTCTTTTATCAGGAAAAAAATCAATAATTAAAAAGTCTTGAATTGACGCCATTACTCTTCTGTGGTTGATAATTGACGGCATTATTGGAAAAGGAAATAGTAATAAAACAAATAAATAAACATTATGACGTGATGACCCCTAATTAATCAATTGATTGATGATAATCGTGAATATTGATAGTTTCCACCCCGTATGACACAAAGAGTTCTAGAATCGTCAAAACGTCACCGTATTTGGATACCCTTCAACACTTAATAAAGATTCTCTTGTATCGTTCACACGACGGAATCTTTTGTGTGAGCCCACCTTGTCAGAGGAAAATTCATTATATGTACCCACAAAACAACTTCATCATCTCTCACAATCAATCCCAATCAACCAACTTGGTTTCTTGCTCTTCTTCTATACCCTTATTATCAAACCTTTTTAAATTTTAGATTTCAATCTTGTTACAATTTTGCACCCGAATCTTACCTAGATATGGTAGTTTTCAAGGATGATCTTCCTTTTAGCTTATAACAATAAAGTTGATCTTGTTCATTATACCTATTAATTTGATTAATCCTGTTATGTTAACTATTTCAAGGCCTAATTAGTTTTGAGTGATTGAAATTTATAACAATTCTTCGTTTAGTTACCTATATAAGTGTAGTTTGGTTGTGTTTATTTATTTTTTTTTAAAAAAGTATTTTTGTCAATTTAAAAATACGTTTAAATTTGTAATATAATTAGACAAATTTTAAAAAACATATAAAAAATGTTTTAATGTTTCCATCATAAGTTAAAAATAGTAATTTATAAAAAATTTAAAATATATATTATAATAGCTTGTGCTAACTAAAATAAACACACCCTTTTTTTTATTTGAGGTTATAATTATAAATTAATTCAATTGAATAAAAAATTACCCATCGCCTCAAATTAAATTTTATGAAAATAAAATACATAATGTGAAGATCATACTAGAGATCACAACTCAAAGATTCTTAATAGCATCTCACTTCAGTCCTTTTCTTGGTAAATCAAGTGATTTTTATTTCAAGATCAGAGATTACTGGATATTCACAGGGCCTAAGGATCCAAGACTAATAATTTATACTTACAGTTCATGATTGTCACTAATTCAATTTTTCATATACATAAAATTTAAATATAAGACTTCTTGTTAAGTCAAATAGTTATACATAAAATATAAAACATAAGCCCTGGGTGTTTACTTGATTAACCGATATGCTTAGAGGTTTGGTAGATGGATTAATGTATAAAGAGAATGTAAATTACTTGGGATGTAAATTGTATTATATATAATTTGGTTGAGTTGGCGAAAAGTTTTATCATATAATCATGTCCATGGTTAATCCCCTTTTTTACTGTCACTATTTGATGATGTTATTTCCATGTTAGGGCATCATTTTCAAATTGGAGAAAAAGTTACAATAAAGTAATTTTCTTTTTGTAAGTTAAAATGGGGAGACAAGATGTAATAATGACATCAAGTATGCTCCTAAACCACAAAAACAAAAGAAAGTGATAAGTCAAGGGGAAAAAATGAAAAAATAAAAAGAAAGAAGAAGAAATAGGACAAGGTGGGTGGAACAAACAAGTACAAATTGTAAAATTGACTTGAGATTGACACTATATGCCCCATTTTGTTGCATGTTTTTCAGAAAGACAAAAAACATCTGTTTGCTTATTCCATCCCTTTGTTGGTATTAAGAATTGCACATGCCATGTTTCATAAGAATCTTGTTTGGATTGGAATTTTCCAATATGGTAAGATTTATTTTTGGCCATTCAGAATGGTAAGATGGGATAAGTATCATTTGAACTCAAACCTTTTAGCCTCCTCACAACAAGAATATATCATAAATTGGAAAACAAAATAAATGAAATGATGGCATCATAATTGGATTCAGAGAATATCATTGTGCCTTTGTACTTTGGGAGTTTGGTGTTCCTTTTTTTTCAATGATTTTCTTAAATATGTGTTTTTAAAAAATGTTTAAAAATTGAGTAACTCTAGACAAAACCTATAATTATTAGCAAGAAACAATTATATAGTCAATTGATATTTCATTTCTCTAGTTTTCCCGAGAGGATATTTTCAAGTTAGTTTTCTTGTCATTTGAAATCATGTATTTTTTTTATTGCACTTTCTCTAAATTATACCCAAAAGGTTCAAGTTCTTGAATTTTTTTTAACTATCTATCTATTTTATGGGACAATGTCTTGTAATCATGTATAATGTTTTATAATGACAATTTGTGATTAAGATAAAAAAAAAAGAAATTCCTTCAACCTCTTCTTACTCCATAAAAATGTTCCATCTTCATGATCCTGTCCTTTGCAACAAGCTACCTAAATCATCCCATTTCTCAACAAAGTAAATAAATAATTAAAAATAAATAAAAATTTCCATTTCAAGAGAAAAAGAAAGATATATGACAGGTGAGTCATGAGTGTTGCTTTACACTTGACATCCTTCAAAGGCAAAAGCCATTCTTCAAAGAAATTAATTTACAAGAGTACGCATCTGAATAAAATTAAATATAAGATTCGGTGGTAATAAGATGTTTAACACAAGCACAAGTAACAAATTAAATTAAATTAAATGAAAGCAACACACAGATAGGGTAAAAATAAGACTGTAAGAGAAAGTGCAATAAATTTTTTTTCTTGGTTTTATTATAACTTGTGGCCTGTGTTCACTTTCCAAGCAATCATTCAAGATTTTGTCTAATAACAGTAATATCTTTTTCGAATGAGGATACCTTAACAAGCTTTTTATGCTTTTCAATCGAACAAATAACAGCCAATAATTAATCTATAACTTCACTTTTATTTCATTTTTCTTTTATAGAAGAGTTATAAAGAGAATCAACTTCTATAAAATGTGTATGCTATATAGTTCATAAGGTAAAATGGTATTTTAAAAATAATATCCTTGACCCGTTACATTTCTTCTATTTATTTATTCATTTATTTTGAGTGATTCCATCTTTTTAATTTTGATATTTTTAGCTTTAAGCTTAATTATTGTGCATTTTGAAGTTAATACTCTGACTTCATTGGATGCTTTTCTACGCCAATGAATCACTAATATATTTTATTTTTGGGTGTAATGACAAACAATCATAGTCTGCATGTATCACCATAATTGTAAAGAAGAAATTAACTCATACAAGTCACATGCTATATATATATATATATTAGTCATTGAACTGAACATGAACTTTGAAGACACTCCCATTTCCCAATTTCTTTATCTATGTTTTCATCCACATTTGAAGCTCTAACCCCAAACTTTAATTTAATAGAACATGGATAACAAAACAAGTAATTATCTTTAAATCTAAAACAAACAATATAATTATTTAATTTCTGAAAATTTACAAGCACTCCCTAGTCTGATATTTGTAATATAAGGAATGTTAGCAACAGCAATAGGTTAAAATTTAAA